AGTTCTGCCCGCTACCGGAGAAAGCGGGAGTTCTTAAAGGCTGAAAAATTCCAAAGGAACTCCGTTATTTTGACAGCAAAATACAACAAAGAATATCGTTTACATGTAGCGCGCATAGGTAGCGCGTCAATTCTCTCTCTCTCTCTTGCTGCGTGTGTGTGAAAGAAAAGCGACGGTGAGTTGTGCGCCTTCACACTAGAGTTTACGGTACGTTAAATACAGGTGCGTTGCACATCCATTCAGATGAACTGAAAAACAGCACAGATCGCTTAGCGGAGAGTGAAACTCTGATGCGCTCAGTCAGAGAGTGTTCGGCGAGTGAAAATATATCTGAGCTAAACTTATACTTAGCCTCCAACTCACACACTGGCGAGTAAAATCTGAGAATTTATTAGCAATTGGCTAATATTAGACACCATTTAGTCACCCAGAGTGAAGATTTAGTCGCATATGCGAGTGATTTACTCGCAATGTAGAGGGTTGGTCTCTTATATCAACCACCAGAGAGGTCTGCATTCGCGCCCCTTGTACAAGCTGGCACGCCAGATCCTTGTGTGGTCCCAGGGCAAACTCCTTTCGTTGAGAGCAGTTCACATCCCTGGTCATTTAAATATGGGAGCCGACATCCTGTCGAGGCAGGGGCCGAGGCCCAGGGAATGGAGGCTTCATCTCGAGATGGTGAAGCAGATTTGGAGAATTTTTGGTCAGGCTCAGGTGGACCTGTTTGCGACTGCATGACATCGCACTGTCCCCTCTGGTACTCTCTGACTCATCCGGCTCCACTGGGGCTGGATGCCATGGTACAGACTTTGCCGAGGCTTCGTCTGTACACCTTTCCCCTGATTGCTCTGCTCCCGGGTGTTCTGGAGAGAGTGTGCCGGGACGGGGTCCGTCTGCTGCTAGTAGCCCCGTTCTGGCCGGGCCCCCCCGCCCGGAGCTGTGGAAGTTATGGGTGTGGCCTCTGAGGGGGCACAATTCCTAGCTTCCGGTCTCTCAGCCGAGGTTGTTGAGACCATCCTCCAATCCAGAGCTCCCTCTACGAGGAAACTGTATGCCTTGAAGTGGAAACTTTTCATTTCTTGGTGCGGCGATCGCCAGCTCGACCCAGTTAACTGCCCGGTTGGTACAGTGCTGGAGTTCCTGCAGGCCCGTTTCTCCGCAGGGTTATCCCACTCCACCCTGAAGGTCTACATGGCGGCCATTGTGGCTTACCACGCCCCTCTCGGTGGCCAGTCAGTGGGCAGACACCCCCTAGTTACACATTTCCTCCGCGGTGCGCTGAGGCTGAGGCCCCCGGTACAATCTCATGTCCCCACATGGGACCTGGCTGTGGTGCTAGAAGCTCTCTGCAAGCCTCCTTTAGAGGCTATTGAAGAGATTTCGGATCGCTTTCTCTCGATTAAAACTGTGTTTCTTCTGGCTATATCTTCTTTAAAGAGAGTTGGGGATCTGCAGGCCCTCTCTGTGGCCCCTTCCTACCTAGACTTTGCGCCTGGCTTGGCCAAGGCTTTTCTCTACCTTCGAGCGGGTTATGTTCCTAAAGTCCCCTCTGTCATGCTACAGCCTATCGCACTTCAGGCCTTCTGTCCTCCTCCCTTCAGTGAACCCGACCAGCAGAAGCTTAACTGTATGTGCCCATTGGGGGTCAAGGCTCACTCGACCCGAGGTATGGCGGCCTCCAAGGCCTTCTTGACAGGTGTGTCCATGCAGGACATCTGCAACACAGCGGGATGGTCCACGCCCCTCACGTTTGTCAGGTTCTATGACCTAGATATGCGAGTCACTCCTGGCTCTTCTGTTCTCTCGTCCTAGCTCTGCTCTTCCACACTAGGCAGGGATTTGCAAGTCTGGCGGTGTGGGCATACTTGTTCCCATAGCGTTTTCCAACGCAGCTCGAGTTCCTGAAGGGGAACGTCTCCAGGTTACGTATGTAACCAAGTTTCCCCGAAGGGAACGAGACGCTGCGTCTCAGGGCCATACTTCCGGCATCCCTGCAAGCGCTTGCTTCATTCCTAGAAGCTGACGCCGGTTCCACCTCACGTGCTTTTATAGCTTCCTGGTCGCTACGTCACCCGCCTATGACGTCTTGCCCTTCCATTGGACTGATTACACATGTGACTCTAAGCGTGGTCACGCTGAAGGCATTCCCATAGCGTTTTCCAATGCAGCATCTCGTTCCCTTCGGGAACCATGGTTACATACGTAACCTGGAGACGATTTCTTAACTTAAGGGCTTTGTTGCAACTGTAACTGATTACATTAGTGTAAGTGAATGATAAGTACCTCTATTAACACTTTAGTTACTATTCACACTTAATTTACCTACTGATTCATATGTAATGACATTAAAGGGGTGGTTCATTGCGATTTCACTTTTTTAACGTTAGTTAGTGTGTAATGTTGCTGTTTGAGCATAAACAATATCTGCAAGGTTACGAAGCTGAAAGTTTAATGCAAATGGAGATATCGTCTTTTAAAATTCTGGCAGTTTATCACCCCTTTAAGTTGGTAATATTAACAAATTGAAATGATTACTAATGTGATTCGTTTTTTTTTTAAACAGTGTAGAAAATTTTTCTCCTTTATATGTTGAAAATCTCAATTTCTAAAAGAAAAAAAATTATTACTATAATTATCACAGTTAATAATAATAGTAATAATAATAATCATATAATTATGTTTTATGCTCAAGGCTGCAATTATTTTATAAAAAAAACAGTAAAATCAGTAATATTGTGAAATATTATTTAAAAAGTTTTCTGGTTTAATATATTTTAAAATGTAATTTATTCCTGTAATGCAAAGCTGAATGTTCAGCAGTTATTACTTCAGTCTTCTGTGTCACATGTTCCTTCAGAAATCATTGTAATATGCTGATTTGCTGCTCAAGAAACATTTCTTTCATTATTAATTAAACTATCAATGTTGAAATCATCCGTGTTCAAAGTATAAATGCTAAAAACTGTTGTGCTGAATAATATTTTTGTGGAAAGCGTGTGACTTTTTCCCCAGGATTCTTTGATGAACAATAAATTGAAAAGAACAGCAATTATTTGAAACAAATATTTTGTAACATTGTAAAAGTCTTTACTGCATGTAAATAAATTCATTATTATTATTATTTATTACAAAGTACCATTTTATAAAAGCAATAAGGAACTCATATTAAATATACTGCATATTCAAAAATTCAAATGAGGCTGATCAGAGTGCTGAACTACAGGGTTTAATAACATAGCTGGCGCTGATAGCCTAGAGTAGTGTGTGTGTGCTTAACTGCTGTGGCTAATGGCTAATGCATCCCTTGGAAATGTCTGTCAAATCACTGAAAATGTTATGTTATAAAGCAGCTCGTCTTTCATCTTGAGTCACCTGGCGGGGAGGATACGGTGAGTTCATATGTGTGATACAGTTCTCTAATTAAACGGAAGCCGTGTGTAGGAATATATCTGAGCTCCCAAAATACAGCGTGACGAAATTCACTGGAATATTTGCCTGCGATGGTAAATGTGGTTATTTCAGCGTGGATAGGCACAGATGTGAAAACCCGACATGTGTGTCAATCACCTCAAACACATCTTTTTTGTGCCATTGTCTAAAGGGTAACGTGTGTAAGTGTTCAAATGTATAAAAGCTTTCACAGCACTTCAAAGCTTCCAGACCACTCTAGCTGTCTGTTCCTATGTAATAGACAGATAAAGGTAACCCGCGCTCAGGACATTACGGTTCAATTCGTGCGAGCGACCAAGCGGTCCCTGTTTCCACAAAAAACAGCTGCAGCTTAAAAGAAAAGACAAAAGTGAGTACAAATGTTAATGGCGAGCCACATGTTTCTTACTGGCTCAAATCAAAATTGCTTGTGAATCTTGCTCGTATCTTGAACGAATACATGCTGAAAGCCACATCTAGGCCCCTGCGACTATGAAGAGAGAATGTGCATATCGAAAAGCTTTCAGCAACCATGTGCTCTCTCAGGGGATGAGGGTTGAGAATGTATTATGAAAATTGAGAGGAATAAGAAAAGGATTCTTACCTGATTCTGGATCACCTGTGGAAAGAAAAGTCAAAAGTACAAAGTCAGAGGCACCATTCCAGAACTTGGTTAAAAGATTACAGATGCATAAAACAGAAGCTCTGCTCATTCTTTTATCTAGTCACATTTTTGGTCCTTACAGACAGTAAATCGCTAATATCTTGAGACTCGCAATGGATCCAATTGAGACTTTTTGAACTGACTTGCACACTGATTTGTAACAAGAATATGAATAAAAAAAGCTGGCAGTGTTATGGGGAAAGCACAAAGGAAAAAAAAATGGGTTGAGTTAAAAATAAAGAAATTAAATCATAATGGAATATGAGGTCTTATTCATCACACCAAAAAAAAAAACATACATTTAAAGTGTATTACATGAATAGTTTTGCCCAGTGACAGAATGCCTACAGAATAAGCTCTTGAACACTGACATTTCACTAATTTACACAGCACATTACTCGCATTGAAAGAATTCATTTTGCTCTGTTTGCAAACTATGAATACAAAAGCACCATATTTCCACTGGCAGCCAAAGCAGCTGTAATTCTGAGGAAACCAGCTGAATTTGTGCTAGTAGTGAGGGAGTGTGCAGGCGGCTCCAGGAAACCTCCCAGAGAAAAAAAAAATTATCTGTTTTATGTCTTAATCAAACACTTAAAGTGTATAACCAATATTTTATAAATTCAGAGGAAAAGCAGGTCTGCCTTAAATAATGATGTCTCTAGTGCTCTGCGCACATAAATTATATCAACCAGAATGTCAAAAGAATTTGGCCAAAAGGAGGCATACAAAATTACAAAACAAACATAAAACAGTGAAAGAGAATTTGATTTTTAAAGTCCGATTGCACATCTGTGTTTTCTCTCCAGCTGTGGTTTTGTATGTTGGGTTCAAATGTCAAAAGGTTGTCTTCAAAATGTATTCAAACTAAAATCCTAATATCATAATATTTTTTGTAATAGTTATTTGGGTAACAAATGAACACAGTATAACCACACTGACATGCATTCAAATGAGAGTTAACTATATGAGGATGGTAGATATTGGCTGAAAGGTTGACAGGGTCAAAAACAAGAGTGTCAGGTCAGAACTGACTGACATTATTCAAGTTGTCACATGTTTTGTGTTTTGCATTCAAATACAGTTTTGGTTTGCCAAAACAATAGTTGGTAACACTAATTAAAGCCTATATTTATAATGCATTATAAAAGTATTTTTAATGCATTAATTATGCTTTGTAATGCACTTTATAATGCAAAACATCACTGTATGATCTCATAAATAATCGTAATCACAGTTATATTACATTACTGTCAATTCATTGTTACACCTTTAGAAAGTATAATGCATTTAAACAAACAAACCTTCAAATATTAATGCATTTTTACTTTGGTTACAATTATTTATAAAAAAAATAAAAATAAATAAAGATTTAATGCATTACAACCTACATTATGAATAGATTTATAATGCATTGTACATAAAGTGTCTGTTCCTTTCAACTTTTTCTCAAAATCCATTAAACAGCTAAAATACATTTGATACAGTATAAAGATATGATGTGGAAGGAAACTTCAGATTGTATTTTATCTTTCGAAAAAAAATAATCTTTTTAAATCATTATCAATAAACAGCAAGTTCCCATTGTGACAACTAAAGTCATATTATATGACAAAATGCCCAGCTATGCGAGTTACATGAACTAGAAAGAAAATGTGTGACAGCTAGCCCCTATTTCTTATACATCATTCATTTCATACTAATTCCAGCAGAACATGTTTGGCAGACACACAATCTCTGAATCAATGTACAAGATCCATGATTTCATGACAATTCATCTGTTGATAATAAACTGAATTAACATTTGCCAAAAACAAACATCTGTTTGTGTTTCTACCAGTGATTGCAACTGTTCTCTCAGCAGGTCAGATGCCCTGTGGTTTATTACTCACTCACTGAGATTATATACCTCTACAGTAAATGATCACATTCTTAAGGCCTAGAAAAAATCATCTTTAGCACTGCTCATTTCATGTTCCTGTTGCTATACTAAAGGGGAACTCACAGCAGAGACATAGACAGTACAACATACTGAATAAAGGCTGCAAAACACCAAGATCAATGCAAATATACATTAAATAGCCTTTGAATAATGTGTTAAAGCTGTGTCAGTAAAGGCTATGAGTTGTTGTTAGCGTATGTAATTACAAACATGCTTTTAGCAAATGTCACATTTTCCCTACTCCATATGAGCGTCTGCCTCAGCTGGAGTCATGGGAAATGATGAATGTACTCACTCTCCAAGTCCAGCTGGCAACAACAGGCAAAGTGCTGCCAAGATTAGCCATCGTAAAGAGAGCAGTCTTGTTGTTAAACAAGTACATTTGCCACCTGAAGCAGACATTTATCACTAAACGATTCGTTGGTAGTCTGTGTCCTCACAAATATTATGGTTAGGAAAGTGTGATCATATATAAGCAACACAAAATATATATTAAATAATATACAGTCACATGCTGCCAGACATACTCACCCAGACGGCTTTATAATAATAATAATAATAATAATAATAATAATAATAGTAATTGCCCCCTTCTGAATTCCTGAAGTTTGTGGACATTTGTTAATACTGTATGAAATGATTTTGTTGTGGATTGCAGCAGTAAATATAGAGAGATTCTGGTGGTAAAATGGACAGAAATTGTGCCCCTTTTATTTCTTTGGTGTTCAAGGTTTCAATTATGTGATCTTCAGGTGTGAAGAAAGTTTTTTTCAAATGTTACTAGATGAAACAGTTCTGTTAGGAAGAGTGGGTCACAAAAATCCTCTGCAGCAGTGTGAAACGCTTAAAAACAACTACAGGAACTGTAGCAGTTATTGCTGCTAATGGGAGTGTAACTAGTCATTGACTCTAAAGGGGCTATTTTTCCCACAGGGACACTGGATGTTACATAACTTTATTAAATACATGAAATATGTATCTGATTAGAACTATGAAAATAAACAGTAAATAAACAGAAAATAAGTCAAGGGACAAACATGTAAGGCCTTTTCACACATGAAATGGTTAACCCTGGGTCATTCTACGCCTTGGTAAATGGAATCCTGGGTTATCCTGCTTCACATTTCACACTGCTTATAATTTAGCTGGGGTTAACAATAGGGGTGGGCGATATGAGCTAAAATTCATATCACGATATTTTACACTGTCCAGGCGATATCGCTATTATATTGCGATATGAGGGAAAAAAAATTAAAGGCAAAATATTTTAACCTTATATAACTAGAAAAAGTGAGGGATTGGACATAGACCTGAAAAGTCGTCTTCTTTTTTTTTGTGCCATTGTTTTTCTCAAAAAGTGCAAACATGCAACATGAGGTAGGCTTGTATGAATTAAATTAAATTAAATATTGTGTGTTTGAGTTGGCCAGTGGCTCCCAAACTTTTTCTGCCGGGCCCCCCTTTTGTAGAGAAAAATATTTTCAAGGCCCCCCCAACCCCTCTTTTTTTTTTTTTTGGAAAGTCTCTTATGCTTACCAAAGCTACATTTATTTATTAAAAATACAGTAAACACTGTAATATTGTAAAATATTGTCAATTTCAATTATCTATCTTTAATAATGTTTTAACATATAGGCTACTGTATTCCTGTGATCAAAGCTGAATTTTCAGCATCATTACTCCAGTCTTCAGTGTCACATGATCCTTCAGAAATCGTTCTAATAACTAATTTTTTGCTCAAGAAACATTTCTGATTATTATCAATGTT